TTTGATACCAAACTTATTGACATAAATTCATGAAATAGTAGTTCAATAAAATTTTGAATGCAAGTCAACAATGCGAGACATGGCCTTTCACCGTAACCCGTCTGGAAAGGGTTAATTGTATCTTCATGAAATTTGCCACTTTTAGTAAACATTACAAGTCTGTTGTACACAAAAAAATCATATTTTTTAATCAAGGATTTCTATGAAAGTTTTGTCTGTAAATTTCACAAAGGTTTTACTGAGCCAGCCTTGAGATTTACCAGCTCCATGTACTTATTTGATGTACATGTTTATAATCATAAGAAAGAGCTCATTTTACACTATAATCCAACAATAGTTATTTTGAAATTGGTGCTCAAGTGTTATCATTGGGTAGATGTAACTACCAGTAGTACTGCTGGATGCTTTGTCCATGATAGCACTTAAGGTTGTTTCTTACATAACTATGTTATAGTTAGAGAGACAGTTAAATTACTTTTAGGTTTTATTTTTATATCTTAGTTAATTATGTATGATTTATAATTTATAAGGCATAATTGAAAGGTTTAAATATTTTTACATCATACTTAGCATCAGTTGTCAAGGCTTGCAATCTTGCAAGAGTGGTAAGATAATTTTGCCAAAGGCTTGCTCATCTCTGCTGAGATGAATAATAAACGATAAAGGAAAATACCTTAAATTACAAATATTACAGATATCTTTTAAGATATCCTACAAAAAATTAAAAGGTACGTACATTTTTCTATTTTAACATTAAACATTTCATTGCACTGTATGTTGAAAATAATATCTATAGTTAGTGATATGATAGAGAAAATGAAAAATAAAATATAAACATTTTCTTCAAAAAAAATTTTTGATATTCATTTAAGAGGTTCTAGAGGTTGTGCAAATACAACTCAAAATGTGTAAGGTGAAAAAAATTATTTTCTTATACTTAAAATGAAAATCACCTTGCACTTGAACTATTCAGAGTGAGTGCAAATAACTACAATAAATATATAACATTTTTAGTAGAAAGACTTAATTAAAATAATGTCATTCTTTGTGTACAAGATACTTATGATCTTCTACAAAATTTTAACAGTTTTTGTGAGGACATGTTAATATACTTCAGCTACTGTTTATATATTGTTGCACAAGTATCCTTCCCGAGTCAAACTTCTGCAAATTGCAGGAGACTGTTGCAGCATCTGTCATAATGTAGTAATTTTGTAATTCTAACTTAAACACTATAAAGCCATTCAACAAAGAATCACAAAACAGAATGTATATAACAAAAAAACCAACAAAATACCTTTAGTGCCTCAAGCCCTGCTTGTATTACAGGTCCTAAAATAGTCTCAGTTTCTCTTGTGGCCATGAACATCTGTGGTATTTGTTCCATTAAGCTAGTGAAGTAAAGAAAATACAAAAAGCTCCAGTTTTAGTTTTATACAGCTGCTGAATTTCATAATTTGTGAACAGAAGCAAATGAGTTGTACAAATTTACTATCAAATATAGAGATTTTCTCTCTAAACTTACAAGGTGATATTCCAATAGAGATATAAGTTATGTATCAATCTTGCGAAGATATAAAAGGACACTTTGAGGTCACTCATTGAATATCTATAATTCACTAAAAACATTATTTATACTAAATTAAATCTATAAAAACTAGAAATTAAATCATTATAATAATTTATGCTCTTTTCAGGCATGTGAGTGAGCTGTGAACAAATCTGAAGAGAAATTAAACAGCCAAACATACTCCTACTGAAAACATCAATTACAACATTACGACAAAAAAAAATGGCATTATAATACAGATACTCAAATTTGTTTTCCTTCAATTTTAATTTTTCTTGTACATAACAAACATTCAGATATTACATAAAAATAAAACTGATGGTACATAACTAGAATATTCAAGTATACAACAGCATCAGTTATGATTGAATGTAGTAGGTTGTTTTAGAAAACCATGGAAAATGTGAAGTTTGTTTAAATATGTTTTCCCATTTCTGGGAGCTGTCAGTTGACAATTACATTTCACTTGATGATAACAGTATTATATAAGTCAATCTTTAGGCTAGTTCTTACATGTTATTTAGTACAATTAGTTACAATTTTCCCATTTGTTTTCACAGTTCAGTGTTTCATTACATGGCAGCAGTAAAATCAAATTATTAAAACTAAAAAGCACAGTCTTAAAATGTAATTCTTTCAGAGCTTAATCATTTCCAGCTCGGTTTCTCGGGTTATTACAGGGACAAAATAATGACATTAAATTTTTTAAAAATAATATGATCAATCTCCCCAAATTAGAATATAACTGAAATGTTAATATTCTTTTGATTTAAATTATATTTTTATTAAGATTTGGATGAAGTAACTAAACAAATAGAAACTGCTAGCCCTAAGCTTCGATTTTTGCCTTCTGTTGTAATTATTGAGATGGTAAAAATTTATTTTTCCCACATATGCAGATACAATTTGTTGGTGAATGAAACTAAACTGTAAGCTTAATAAATTTCATTTATATGAGGCTTATATTTAGCTTAAATAGTTTAAAAGCAGTGAATGTTTGAAGTTGATGATATCAAGAACTGTGCAATTCAACCATCCACAGGTTTTATAATTTTCGAATTTCTAAAGTTGACAAAATTGTAAATATATTGTCTGAAACCTGGGCTTATTTTTCTTTCATGCAATATGTCATATGGCTTCTTTCCTTCGTTACTTAGTTACAACAGATTTGAAAACAATGTACAATTTCTTATATATTACAAACCGTGGTGTCCGATTGTTCATCTGTCTCTTGTTTATGGCAGCCGCAATATCATTCACTTTTGAAATTACGGGAGAACAGGCACAAATAATGTTTATGCCAAATTTTATTTTGCAAGCAGGATTTTCTCCAATAAACTGTTATGAATTAATCACACTATCGTTCACATTTCAAAATGTGACAAAAATTAAAGAATAAATAGATAGATTTACGATATATTACTGTTGAATGGCTCTCAGCATGACTGAAATGCTCAGCAATTACTTTTCGCAATGTGTGTTATAAGTAGCTCAGAGCTACAGCTCTGAGTGAAACCAAGAGTACAACACAACATTTTAATAGGTACTTTTACTTATGCTGTATATGGGCATCTTGAGGTTAATTAGGGCCTTTTTGTCTTGTAAAATACAATTTTTTTTATTATTTATAAGTCACAAATAGGTAATAAATTAACTGAATGAGTTTCCCTCCATGTTCATTTATTTTACTGAAATAATTGTCTCAGCAGTTAATTTGCTGTTCATAAGAACTCACAAATTATGTAATTCAAGGCCATCATTAAGTTGATCAATGCTAGAATCACATTTTTTCCCCACAAGCAAAGGTAGAGATACTACATTTTTTGAGCATATGTACACAAGTTAGCATAAGAATGACATATATAACTTAAGTATAAAACAGAGAGAGAGATACATACTATCTAATTACATGAGTTTTAATACTTTAGATGGCACTTTACTGCACCATTTCTTTCATCAGTGCCCTAGCACATAACATCATTAGGCTTACTATGGTGTTGTATGAAAACTGGCTTCCAAGACAACAATCACCTGGGTTATTTGTAATGGTGTAGTAAATAGCTATGTTATGTGGTGGTTTTTAAATGAGACACAAAACTTAAATGCTTTTGAAATGTTCACTATTCTTCTTGAAGAGAATAATTCAATTCTCCTGAAGAAGAATAGTGAACTATTCGAAAGCACTCAAGTTTTGGGTCTCGTGTCAAAACCATTACAACTTTTGTGTGCTAACTTCTTAATCAGAATTTATATGGTGGTTTTTATTATATTATGAAACATAAATTGACCAAAATAAAATAAAATTTATATTTTAAAAGGTCCCATAGTTATACCATGTGTCTGTGTTTCAGATATGGTTATTAATTTTTATGAGTTATTAATTTTTATTAATACAAGGTAAGAGGTAGCATTATACCTGCTAATTAATGAGCTTTAAAGGGATAAATAAAGTTAAAATGAAATTAATTACCCATCAAATGTACATGTTTATACTTCCTTTAAACTTTTCTACTTGGGTTCAACATCATAGACCCACTACAATGATTTTTTATTAAAATAGATGATATTTCAAATTAACCTAGTAACAAAATGTTTATATTAATAACAAGATGAAATAGTGGCACAAGAGAAGTAAGGTACAAATATTTATCATAATCCAGTTATCGTCAAATAATTTTGAAATACATATAATGCTTCTTCTGCTGCTACAAGTACAAAACTATTGTTGTTAACACTGCTGTACACTTTCAAATTCATCTCATATCTTTGCTGCATGTGAAGATGTTATTTTGGTGTTCAACTCTCACTGCCATGAACAAGTACATGTTCCCCTCTAAGGCACTGCCACAGGCATATACATGGGACACATTATACAACCTTTGTTTTAACCAAGACAAATGTGCTGTTAAGTAAATGAAAGAGTATGCAATAAAGTCAGCTTTTTTAATTGATTAAAATGAATCATGTATGTTTCATATTAATTTGATATTCTGGAAATAAATGCATGAATAATTATTTTACTTAATACTTCTCACAATTTGAGAGCATTTGCAAAATATTGTGGGAAATTGTCTCAAAAAATTATTTTGTAAAGGAAATATATGAGATTAAAGTAGTTATACAACACTATAAACAAGGCAATGAAAGAGTTAATAGCACTGGTTAGAGAAGCTTGACAATACCTATCTATTACAGATTCTGCCTCTTCTGCAGACACTAAGAAGCCATCCAAGAGTGGAACAAACATTTCCTGGACATCTGGAACCACCAACATCTGAGGCTGGGCCAGGTTTCCCTAAGAAAAAAAAGAAAATCTTCTGCTGCATACTGGAACAGACTACAATATTTGTATTATAAAAACATTGGAGATAATCATTTTTCTTCATTCTAAAGCATGTCTGTTATGAAACAATTTAACTCAAATAATGACATGTGGTATTATACTGTTATAAAAAGAAGTTCCAAAAGAACACAGCAATATTTCTTTCAAAGACACTTATTTAATGCACTTAAATTTCCATTAAAAAAAAGGTTATCTTCCACATGTGCAAAAAAACACAGCATGTCATCTTATGATATTAATTTTTTTCAGAAACAATGTCAAATTAAATTGGGTACGATTGAAATCTGCTAGGATGATGTTTCAATCAGCTGTTATTAACCCTTTCACTGCAGAAAATATATGTCCCAGCCACAGTGAAAGAGTTAAATAAACTTTATCTGAAACTCCTCTAATTTCTATTTAGTTTTCATACACAAATAATTGTTCATGTTTTTGTAGCTCAAGTTTCCATATTGAATGTTGTAAAGTAATGCCATGATGATACTAGTACATTAAATAATTTTTACTTATCTAAAAATACACCCAAGAACACAGAATAATAACACACATAAAGCAAACAATGTCCTATAATTAATTCCCTTAGCTCCTTGATCTCAACTGGGCAAGAGCAATTTTCAATCCATAGACTGAATAACTAAAAATTTGTACCGAGAACAACGTAGCATTATACATCATTTAGTAAAGGTGATTATCATGCTAAGAATAAAATATTTCTCTTCATCTTACAACTTTGATATTTCATTTGCATAATAGCCTCCAGAAACTCATTTTTTTTTGTAAGACTTGACACTTTATTTTTTCTACCCTAACACTGGCTGTAGCAAAATCATCAGTGTATGGTGAAATTAAAAGTTAAAAAATATGAAATAAAATCAAATGTGGTCTAAAACTATTTAAAAGTAAATTGCAGTTTCTATCATTTTTTTTCTCTAACTGGAAAATGGCAAATAAATTAATCACAAAAAATATGTACTAAATTAGAGAGATCTAAAAATTACCTTGACATTGTAGAAATGAACAACATTACTATAGGTGACAAACCCAACTTTAACAACAGATGCTGGTGCTCCTACTTCTCTGTAACATATATCAATCATGTTTCAAGACAAACAAGTTCGTAATATCAACATAAACACATACAAAATATAAAAAACACAATCAATGGTCTTTTTAATTATCAATAACTATTTTCTTACTTTTAGTATAGGTAAATAAAACAAATATTTTATGGATTATCATTTATTTAAATAACATAGTAGTGAAAAAGCTTACAAGACAAACTAATACAAACCTTTACAGTCTCCCCACTATAAATTATTGGGCTCAAAGTTCACTCTGTTTTTGGTATTCTATCATAACTTCTTTTTTCACCTTACTTAAGAACTTAGATTTTTTAACAATAAAAATCAAAATGTAAACACTAGTAAAACTTAGTTTTGTCAAGAGAGAGCAATGACTATGAAGTAGCATTTTTAATTTTAAAAAAGTAAAAAAAAACAAACACTTAAATGTTAAGATACACTTGCAAACACTAAATAATATTTTTCTCTAAAGAACAAAATTTCCAAATGACATTCTTTGAAAATAAGTTTAATACCAGCCTGGCTTTTCAATCATTTTTTCTTGTTTCATGTTTTAAAAATTATTTGAAATTGAATGTTACAGGAAAGCCATGTTGATTTCCTAAGCAAATAAGAAGAGACAAAGATACGATTTCTTACTAACTCGAATAATTTATTTTTTATATTTCTGCCTATCTCCAATCACTAGAATACACCAAATGTGAAAACATATCAAACCAGAATAAATAGCCTCAATGCATTATGGGGTAAAGCCATTGGAAAACATGAATAAATTCTTGTTTTCCTTATCCTGTTTGTAAGACTATGAAATTTTTTTGTTGTCTAATATAGATTTGACAGCCATTGCTTGCTTGCTTACTTCTGAAATTAAACCCATATTTTCTTTCCATAGACTGAATATACTTGTCAATGTCAATTTTGTAAATTATAATACTGGAAATTGACACCAGATGTTGCGATTGTTTCAAACCTACACTTCTATGGTTTTCATTGGTCACCTGTTCTACAGGGCAGTTGACATATTTTGTTCATTAGGCACATTCAAGCCCTCATAAATCAACTGTAGCAAGATATAGGGTACTGAATTAGAGTTAAATTCTTATTGGATGATTTAAATACATACTTCGGTAGAAAAGCCAAAACTTCTTTCATGTTTTCACAAAGTAGCTTCACCATTCCATTTCTGATGCTGTTGTATGAAACATCAATCATGAAAATAAATGCAGGAGGCTTAGGTAATACTCCATTCTGAAAGAAATAGAAAAAAAACAAACAAAAAAAAAACTGTTACTATATTTGGAATATAATGCAATTTACAAAATATTAAGTTAAAAACATAGAAATTTTAATTATTCATTTTCTGTTTATCAATACTTGAATTATCTGGTTAACCCCCTTGCTACAGGCAGGTCAAAGTGCAAATTTCATGACTTTAGAAAGTTACATTCAAGATTTAATTAAACTACTTTATTATCAATGTATATGAATAAACTTGGCATAAGAAAACTAATAAATCAAATTTTGATGATATATAAATTTAAGTACTTAATTTCATAAGGAAATGTTTTAAAAAGTTTTCAATCTCACCCTAGTGTAAGAAATGTGACATTTACTTCTTATATTATTGTTGTTACTCAGGCAAAGCATAATTTTTATAGCCTTCAATCTTATTTGGTTAAAGAGCCATAAAACAGAAAATCAGACCCACTTGCCATGTTCACCTGTGACATCTTCTCTTTCATAAATATCCAATAATTCTTTCTGATGTTTAATATTATGTTATATATAACCAATAGAAAACCAACGATTTAATCTATCAAATGACATATTACATTGTTTTCTGTACAGAAAATTGTCTACATCACTTCCAGTACAAACTTTATTCCCATGGGAAACCCATCTACAAGTTTAGCTGAATTTTTAACAGCTGTTATTGCATAGATAGAAAGCCAGAAAAATTATGATACTTATAGGATATCGATTGCTTTTTACATGTTATTATACTGTGCATTAGTTAATTAAATAAAATATTATTTAGTGCAGTAGTACCATTCATATAAACAAGTAGGGTTAAGTTTCATTGACAGTAGATAGAAAAAAAAGGACCCAAGTAGGTATTATACTTCTTGTTTTTCATGTGTATTTTTTTTTTATTTATTATTATAAAAGTAACTAAAATTTAAAAATTATAAACTTATTAGGCTAGATAAAAATAAATAATGAAAGTTTTTTCTCAGGGTACACTCGTAAACAGCTAGAAGAGCTTGTGCATTACATAATTTGATAAGATAACTGTAACCTACATGTTTGTCGAGTGATTTACAACTTGTGTGGCAGGATTATCAGTTACAGGGGTTCCAGTGGCAATAAAATAATAAAATTTAAGTAGAAATCAATGTATACTGTTACTGGTTTTAAGGTATTTAGGATAACAAATCTAGTTTCCTGTTACAAACTGAAGTAATTCTAAAAAGGAAGAGTAATTTGGACTTATTTTATATTTTTTTTATATGGTAGTTACAAGTTCGGTCAACTTCATATACCCCGTATCGAGCTAGTGTATTGAAAATAAAATGTAAAGTTTTACTGAAAAAACAAACAAAAAAAACGTTTTAAATTTATTCTGAAGATTGCACAAATGAAATATGACAATTTTCAGATGAAGTATTTTAATACTAACATGAAAATCACTTTCACTCCACATATTCATGGAGAAATGTTTAGTAAAAATACTTCATTAAAAATTCAGATTTTTTCTCTATAAAAGACTTGTAATCCTTGCATAATTTTTATGTGTGTACAGCCTTAGCAGTCAATAGTAAGGGTTTTAAAGCATTGTTGGAACTGAATTTTCACTGTTTAAGGTGTTTTTTGCCCAAGTGTTCTATTATGGTTTTGTGTAATTCCTTACAATCCCTATTATGAACCACAATAACCAACAAAAACAAATCAAAGTTACCCTTTCTAGAATGACTTCAAATCATAACAAGAAACTACACTTGTTTATCCTAAATTGCTTTAAACTTGTAACAGTATTCATCTGTATATGCTTTAATTTTATCACCCTTTGAACCATATCTAACTAATATTTGCACCATATAAGTTGTAAATCACTTGGCGAACATATAGCTCACATTACTCTATCAAATTACATTACACACGTGCTACTCACAAGTGTACTTCATGAAAATTTGTTATTACTATTCTTCATTTTACTTTATCTAACCTAAAAAGTTTCTAATTTTTACATTTTAGTTACTTTTATAATAATAATAAATAAAGAATACACATAAAAAACAAGAAATAAAGTACTTCGGTTATCTTTTTGTTGTTGTCAACTGTAGATGACACTTAACCTTATTTTTATTTATTTTTAATACTAATCGTACTACTACAGTAAATATTTTTTTTATTAAATAATGCACCAAAGAACACAGAATAATAACATTCATAAAGCAAATGTCCCATAACTCTCACAATGTTTTTGGATTTCTAACCAGGCAAGAAAAGCTGTTAAAAACTCGGCTAAGCTCGTTGATGTGTTTCCCATAGGAATAAAATTTGAACTGCAAGTGAAATATACAATTCTCTGTACAGAAAACAACATAATATAATACAACAATTGGTATATTGAAACTTTTGCTTCCTATTGGCTATAAATAATATAATATTAATCGTCAAAGAGAACTATTGACAAGTTGTGAAAGAGAGGATGTGACAGGTGGGCACGACAAGAGGGGTCTGATTTTCTATTTTATGGCTCTGTAACTAAATAAAATAGAAGGCTATAAAAAATTATGCTTTGCTTGAGCAATGACAACATTATAAAGACTTATATTAAATTTTGGACTTCTTGGAAAGGTGGTAAATAAATTAGAGAAGATAGGACGACCAGAGATAAAATGTAAATTCTCATACTAAGGGAAATTAGGGAATGTTTTTAATATTGCCTTATAAAATTGAGAACACAAAATTGTATACTATTAAGATTTGGGTTACTAACTATGTTTTCTTGTTATCCATATACCATGATAAGAAAGTAGTTAAATTTTGAATGTAACTCACTCAAACCTCGTGACATGAGCAGAAAAGATGCCCATAGTGAAAGTGTTAATAAAGCAATTACTTAGAATATATGATAATCTAGGTGTAAGATTAAACTCTTAAGTTACTACACAGAAATACCAGTATATATTCAAATATATTTTCTTTTGCAAATCATAGCTTTAGAGAAAATTTATGACAGTTTAACAATTTATACAGTCCTAAACTTTTCAGTTTATTTTTGCATCTTATATAAATTCAGCTGAAATTATAGCTATTATGATAATTATTATTTAAAGTACTACAACAATTTTAAAGATGTGTATTACTTTGCAGTAATCTTTTGTAGTTAAATATTCATATGATCCCAGACACAGCTCAGGTCTCTGAAACTTATCTGTTCTCTGTCCCATGTGATCAAGATGAGAAAAATATTCTGGAGGAACTACAGAAAGAAAAAAATGAGCCAAATAGCAAAAAATTAAAATCAAAATAACATATAGGATAAATAAGATAAGAAATATTTAACAATTAAGAGAAATTATAGCACATGACATAACTGAAGGGCTGAATATAAAGTTAAGCAACTTGGTATTTATAAGAAATTATTACAATATTTATATTTGCTCCAGATTTGAACTTATTACTTTTTATGTTTTAGTACATTATTTTGAACTCCCAAAAACTTCGTATCGTCCATAAAATTCAAATTTTATCTATTTTTAATTTTTTAATAATCACATACTCTCCTCATGGTTTCAAGTAATATACAAGACCCGAAAATAATATTTGTAAATAAACCTAAACAATAAATGAGTATTATCATTTTTAACTAAGATTTCATGTTTATATATGTACGTAAACATTCACTAGTATTGTACATGACAGTTTGATTATATCTTTATTGATGTAATTTTTAAATGTAGTACTGAGAAACTGGAGTTCTTAAAATAACTCAATTTTTCAATAAATGGTAACACTTTTAATATAAAAACATTACAGTTTATATCAGTAAAATTTATAAAAATTGAGCTCTGTACGACTAAAGAGCACAATCCAAACACTTTTCCCATGCAGTACTTCCAATTATAACAACTTTTTTTAGAAAATGTTCACTTTTTTTTCTAAATTTTTTTAATGAGGTATGAATACTACAATTAGTAATTGTTAGCACAAACAGCCACCCATAGGGCAGTGTTTCTGCTAGTTTTAGTAATTCATGATACAAGACAAAGTTATTTTAATTCACTACTAAATATACGTAAAAGCAATGCAAATTGTGATTGGAGTTATTCACTGCTTGTTAGGCCTACCCAAATGTTACAAATGTTTAGTCTAGTCATTTAAAATACATAAACTAATAACAATTTTATGTGTATACTTCAAAGAGTATAACCAATAATATATATATATATATATATAT